CATCCAGTGAATGAGTAAAGGAAAAAAATGTTCTTTAGGGAAGGAAACTGCCATCTTTACCTAGTCTGACCTACACGTGACTCCATACCCACAACAATATTAGTTGGGGTGGCACAGGTCGGGGGGCTCAGTGGTTAGCGCTGCTGCCTCACGGTGTCAGGGACTTGGGTTCGATTTCAGTCTCGGGCAACTGTCTGTGTGGAGTTTGCACATTCTCCCCGTGTCTGTGTGGGTTTGCTCCCACAGTCTAAGGATGTGCAGGTTAGGGTGGATTGGCTGTGCTGTAATGTCCAGGGATGTGCAGGTTAGGGTGGGATAGCCATGAGAAACGCAGCGTTACAGGGAGAGGGTGTGGGTGAGATGCTCTTCGGAGGGGCAGTGTGGGCTTGATGGGCCGAACGACCTGCTCCAACATTGTAGGAATTCTCTCACGGCAGGAGAAAATAGTCTGGTTGTTTCAGAAGGTGCCTGGATACCATTGTTGGGGAGGGGGGGTGGTTTAGAAATGGGAAAACCAAAGCCTCCGTTTGTTTCGGCCCACAAGCCACGCTGGAAGGCCCTCTTGCAAGACGCATTCCCGATTTCTTGGCTCTTGCCCACAGTCCCTGCAAAAGCTGACCCTGGGGTACAGGAGTGAGTGATGCCCCTCGTTTGGGAGGTGGGGGGGGAAAGGGGGTTACATTCCCACATCCCCCCCCAACCCGACCGTTGCTAACGTCGTGTTTCCCTCCGTAGACATTGACGAGTGCGAGACCATCCCTGGGGCCTGCAAGGGAACCATGAAATGCTTCAATCACTACGGGGGCTATCTGTGCCTGCCTCGCTCAGCCTCCATTATCACCCACAACGACGTGCCCCCCAACAACGAAGCTGACGCAAACCCCCCCCAGGTCACGCTGGAGGCCGGCTCTCATCCACAGGTCCCCGCCGGGGGCTCCAACCCCTGTTCGCAGGGGTACAGCCTCAACCAGGAGGAGCAGTGCGTAGGTAGGTGTTCCACCATGGAATTGGGGTGGGGGTGGTGGTATCGTGGTCAGAAGAGGGGCCTGTTCCGGAATCAGTAGCGAAACCGGGATCCGGCTGGGGGCAGAGCAGCCTGGGCCTGAGGGGAGGGCAGAAAGTCCTGCATTCCCGTAGCATCCCTCGCCCCACCAATGTGTTAAAGGGCCATCGAAGACCACCTTTTCTTTTTGTAACCCCCTGGCAAACACAGCGGGTAACGGCTCTAGCCCAGTGACCCACAGGCCCAGGTTAAACACCCTGACCTGCCCTCGGCCCACAAGCTGTGCTAGAAAAGCCCCTTTCGCTGTCCCCAATCCCACCTTTCACAGCTCTCTGTGCCCCCACCAAAGGCCTGGCAAACCTGTCCTACATATATG